TTGCAGAGCCTGAAATAAGAATTTGATATCAGACGTTTTCTAACCATATTGCTGATTTGTCTGACCAAATTCTGTGTTGCTCTAGCATTTTGCCCTTTGAAATAAATTTAATCAAAAGCAATTTAAGTTATTTAACACAATAAAATGTTGTACCACAGGGTTATGTACAAATCATGCTAATTCAGTGAGCAAGCTTCATGAACTGACAAGCACTAAAATAGAGTACATGTACATGGCATTTGGATTTTGGAGCGACTTTTAAAATTCATAAAGAATCCAAATTCAATCAGAATTAGGTCAAACTTTCTACACAGCATAACAACATGTATATATATCAGGAAAAGTTAAAAATGGAGAATTCCCTCCTTTTAATTTTTGTCTAAATAAATACTCTGTAGTACTGGGACAAGAGGCTGCATGAGGACTATGCCAAAATCCTGGGGAAAACACTGTCCAATCGTTTTATAAAAATGGCCCATAAAATTAAGCAATGTTAATGTTTGAACACTGTTTCAATGTAATTTCAGGCTCTGCAATAAATAAAAGTCTACAACTTTACATGCATGTACACATATAAGACTCACAGTAGCTTGACTAGGGCACCTCTCATTAGCATTATTGTCTACCACAGGATTGAACTGCTGTTCACTAATAGCAGGAGTCATACCACCATTTTCAGTATGATAACCTAATACTGTAGTAACACCTTGATCTGTGAAAAAGGGAAAAAGAATGAGCTACTTGCACTTGCTTTTCATTCTTCCACTAATTATACATGTACAAGCTATTGTAGAGTATACCATATAGCTATACCTGCAGCTCTTCTACCAAACAATAGATGATAGGAACTGTTCAAATTATAATCCTGACCCACATCAGTAATATTAATAGTCCTACTGAACCTATTGGGAGAGAGTAAGTTTAACATACACATGTAGTAATAATGGCCAGTATAGATATTAACATACCTGCAGGTTATTCTACCGTTAGTGAATGATGTAGATTGGACACACAGTCCATCCTGTGTGGCATCAAGCATATTAGCTGCTCTTCTAGGAGAAGGATTCCATGTATCAACTACTGTTACTGCACCAGAATTAACACGACAACCCAATACATCATCATTCTCCTGTAATATATTTATAAGAGATAGAGAGAGATTATACTACCAATATACCATTTGTGTGTTTAGTGAGAATCCAATAGCTATCCATCCAGCAGCATTACCCTCAAGATATACATCAAGATAAGTTGGATCTGATGGATTTGGCGACAATCCAACATAATATTCACAATCAGCCCTCAAACAGCCTTCAGGCATACCAAAGACTAGATTATGTGACTCAATGCCCTAGTTAAAGAAAATACATGTACATGTACATACATGCTAAAGTGTTTTTATTAATTTTTAAATTTTATTTGAATGTGCTATAATTATAAGGACTACATGTGCACCAGACAAAATGACAGTTATAGACTTTTAATTTGGAAGCTTAAAACTATAAGACATACTGTACATTAAGCTAATTGAGGCACCTACTGTTTAGTAATAATAGTAATAATTCAAAACATATCTTAATACTGATGTATACGCAAGAAGGATGAGTATTTATTTTAGTTGCAAATGCACAATTTACAGTTTTCTTACAGTAACTTCTACTGGACATCTTCCATCAGTATTGTTATCATTAACAGGATTGTATTGGATTGGACTAATACTAGGAGTCATACCGCCATTAGCAGTATGATAGCCTAATGATGTAAGAGGTCCTTGATCTAGAGAGATGAGTAGCGATTACTAGAGGTCAAGTGTTAGTGTCATTATACTGTACCTGCTGCACGGCGTCCATATAATAAATAGAAAAGATTGTCAAGATCATAATCTTGACCAATATCAGTCCCATTGATTAAACGACTTAAACTATAAGTAATAAATAATAGTAGCATAATAATTGCGAAATAATAATGACATTTTAAAAGCAAAGATATGTAAAGTCTTATTGCATATTTACCTGCAGGTTATTCTACTGTTGGTAAATGATGTAGATTGAACACACAGTCCATCCTGTGTAGCATCAAGCATATTAGGTGCTTGTCTAGGAGAAGGATTCCATGTATCAACTACTGTTACTGTACCAGAATTAACACGACAACCCAATACATCATCATTCTCCTGTAATATATTTATAAAAAGATAGAGAGAGATTATATTATTAATATACCATTTGTGTGTTGTTGGAAAATCCAATAGCTATCCATCCAGCAGCATTACCCTCAAGATATACATCAAGATAAGTTGGATCCGATGGATTGAGTCCAAGACCAACAAAGTACTCACACTCTTGACGTGGGCAGTTCTCTGGCATACGGAATATAAGAGGATGAGTCCCTACATCCTATACCAATACAAGGTACATTATTAAGAGTACAGGTACACTATGGCTTATTCCAAAAATGGCTCAAAATCATAGCAGTTATTATTTTTTTCATTGATGTATTTACATGTATACTATGTAGACTTATTCTTACAAAGATTTCTAGAGTTATAAACATTTATAAAAATAGCCAATTTTGAAAAAAAGTGAAGGCAATGGCCTGTGGTTTTTCCTGAAAATCGGCTCCAAAATCAGCCCCAATTTTTCTTACATTTTCTGATGTACTATTTCCTTATGCAAAGTTTGAACTAATTTCGCCAAAAAATATTTGAGTTATGAGCATTAAAAACTAAGCCAGTTTTTAAGAAGCAAAGGCTATAGCCCTTATTTTTCTTCCAAAAATTGGCTCTGAAATAACCCTCAATTTTTATTACATTTTGTAATACATGCTGAAAGTTTGAGGTGATTCCGGTAAATAATTATCAAGTTATCAGCACTTTATAAAATGAATTTTAAAAAAGCATAAACATCATGATAGCCATTTACAACAGAAATTATATGCAGCTGGTGCTATTGTAATAATATAGCACAGTATATACTTACAGTGAGTGTTATATTGCAGTTAACCTACAAGAGAGAAGAGAGAATAAGAGAATATTGATTAATAAATCTTGGAATCTACATGTACATGTATAGCTTACAGGGAAATCAGCAGCATTGAGATTCACATAATATGAAGCAAACATGATCACAACAGAATACCTATGGATAATAAAATAATAATAATAGGATTACAAATTATAGTAATGATAACTATAATAGACTTAAATTAATGGTTTCACTCTAACCACAGAAATTGCTAATGGATTCTCCTTTGCACTTACATGTATATTAGCATAAAAGTGTATCACATGTACATGTAAGTGTAAACATGTATTACATACATGTAAGTGTTAACTAACATCCTAACATCTACTTATAAATATAAATACATTCAAACCAAATAGTGCAAAATTTTTGAGGGCTTTATAAATTTCACGGATTTTGCGATTTTTGAAGTTCTGCAACAATTACTTTAATTGATGAAAATCAAATTATTACAGTACAAGATGACAAAAGGCATAAATTTGCAAAAATTAAATCTGCAAAATACACATAAATTTTTAGGCAAATTCACAAAATTTACAGCCCTCAAAAATTTTTCACTATAATGGCTGTATCTGGCACAAAACAATTTTATTCATTTGCATGCTTCAGTTATTTCTAATAATATTTTGTTGCTGTTGGTGCCTTAATTGGTGTTTACATTCAGTACTACGTGGCAACTGATCAAGTTTCCTGTAGACACATTAATCAAATTAAATTTGTTAATAATGCAATACAATAATGTAGCATTACAAATACACAGTATAATAAAGAAATGGACTGATAAACTCAAGTGTAATTGTATTTCTGCATACACTTGCCTTGCATGCACACACCAGTAGAGCTGATAGCTTTAAATTTAATGCATAATTGAACACAGACCATTCAAAGCTTTAGTTTATACAGTGCAAATTAGCAGCAACTATTCAACACAATAATCATGATAAACAACCCAAAGTTACTAGTAGCTTTTAAGTCATAAAGTTACCCCAATGTAAAGCAAAAATATTTAGCAGCATTTTCCTTCATTGTGTAGTCTTCAGTAGCTAATATGTGAAGAGGCCATCTTCTGTTCAACAAAGCATGATAAATAATATTCAACTATTACACGTAGCATTTATCTATTAATAGTACATGACCTAAATGTGCTTCCTACTACTGTATAAAATAGCCAGTTTAACTAGTTTAATCTTAACGGAGTCTGGATTCAAACTATACCACACCCTAATGGCTTCTGTCATGACTCAATCCTTATCTTTACTATAACTGATACTCTATCATGGTCAGTAGAGCCATATAGCAACAAATGAAAACTGACAAAACCATCACTGTAAACCTTTCTATGTGAACTTGAGGACATGTACATGCATATGCAGCATTACAAATCAAATGCTGAGTGTAGCAGTAACTATAATAAGCATTGAAACACTGTATAATTCATATTAAAAAATTAAACTCATAACCCTTGATTTTGAAAGCTAATACCCTGTAAAAATGCCATTATAATTCCATATATAGCATGCATTGTTTTATGATCATGCTCTACATGGATTTTTGAGACATCACAGTGCACAATAGCCTGACCATAGCAGCCCTGACAATTGTAGCCGGGCCCTGACAGATAAAACTGTGGTTATACTTCCTAATAAGCATCAATCCACACTCCATATATTGACCTGAGTGGGTGAATACACACACTATATGGTGATGCCAACCAGATAACAAACCACATGAGAACTGAGAAATACAGCATAACACTGGCAGACAACAGACAATCAAGAGAAGGTTTAATTGTATTTGATAAATCTAAGTACAATGATGATAAGTACATTGGACCATACAATCTAGCATGCAGTAGTCTTAGGCACTATACTATATTACAAACTAACCTTAGTTCCACAATGTCATCAAACCCTGAGGGAGCAGTCCATTGAAATGAGACACTTGACTTATCGTAATTATTAACATGAGTTACCTAAGGAAAAGAAAAAAAAGAGAAGGAGAAAAAAGAAAAACATCATACAAAATGCATACAAAAAATGCATACAATCAAAATTACCTAGAAAATTATATAAAATTGCATCCAATAGTATTTATCACATTAGTATTTAAATTACAGTGGAATTATTAGAGTCTGGACAGTCAGCTAGTCTTGCCTGACCATTAGAGCCACTGGTATCCATCATACCAATCACTGACCCATTCACATCTCTGGCTTGGACTATGAAACCTCTGAATGTTGCTCCAAGCACACTGATCAAACTGACTGCAGAATAAAAGAGAAAGAGAAAAAGAACAAATTAATAGTAATAAACATGCAAGAATATTAATGGTTGCATGCAAGTAAAGGCCCGGTGTATAAAATTGATGTGGCAATCATATCATATTTTTACTATTATATGTCTCATCAGGTTCATATACTAGGGATCCATTTTTCATCAAGAGATCAGAGACAATGAAATAAGGAGGAGGACGGAGGGCTGGATCAATGGGAACAGCACCATGACCTGGTACTAGAGATACACATGCTTGAGGTGGAGCACCAGAAGGTAGAGCTGTAGCTAATCCAAGAAATACTAAGAGGAGAGAGAAACTCCTGCAATAGGAGACAGCCACCATGATCACAGACACTGCTGGAGTCGGTAGATGTCAGGAATGAAGATACAAATTCATCAAGTATATGTACCCTACTCATTGAGGAAATTACATTTTTAGCTCCACCTTTTCTTCTTGGAAATTAAGCACGTGGCAAAGCATGTAGATTAAAGGCGGGGCATGGGGTGAAGCTTAATCATAGCCACGCCTTGTAAATGGCTGCTCCGATGTCAGTTACTCAGGAGTCAATTCTCAGTGGAAGGACCTTAAGTGAGTATAGAATTATAATAATAATTATCATTATTTTACTACATGATTGCTCTTGTAGACATTACGGATCTTAATGAAGTGATTGCATTACTTGAGAAGCATTGTATCGATAAGACGTCATATTATCAACTAGGCCTACGTCTTCTATTATCTGATAACACACTGAGGAGCATTGAACAAGAACAGAGAGGACAGGTTGATCGTTGTTTTACAGAGTGTTTGGCTAGCTGGTTGCGTAAAGCTGATGGTGTGGAGGATCCAACAATAGATACACTGATAGCTGCTCTTAGAGAAAAAAGAGAGAATGCTGTAGCTGATGGTATTGACACAGAAAAACAAAGTGAGATGCTTTGCTTTAAATAATCAGTATTTTATTAATTGCTTTTATTTTACTTAGATCTATTTATTGCTATGTCAAGAAGTGATGTTTCATTAGCCACACCCCAAACACTGCCTACAACTGAAAGTGAGCCAGTATACATAACCTGCGTGTTAGTTCACACTTCCTTTGAAGTAAAGTATGAATACCATTAAATCGTTATTAAATGTAGGCGTAGAAATCTTCACCCACTCAAGTACCACACCCCTTGGTTGGCAGAAAGCTACATCGAAGGAATGGAGATCAAGGAAAATTTCCAAAATAAGAAGGAAAGAAGTAGTTTATAGCAGCAAAGAGGCTCCTTACTGATTCATTGGTGTGTATAGCAGAAATAGCAGCTCTAATTTAAAGAATAGATGTAAGAAGAACTGCTCATTTGCTTTTTTATTCTTTTCTTCCTTTCGTTTGTACTGCATTCTGCCAACCAGGGGAGTGGCTTTAGTCAGGCTCCACCTTAGCTAATGTGGCTTTAGGCCTTTGATCTGAAGGTGAGAGGTAATGCACAGGTTATGTATAGCATTGTCTGTTATAGATGATGCATGTTATAGAGGAGATGCAATCTTTACTTGCTTGCTTTAAAATATTATGAGTTGAAATATATACCGTATTGCCTGATTACAAGCCCAGCTCAAATAAACGTGCATCCCTAAAATGTTACAGCTGTATATATAGCCCAGTTGTTTAGATTGTTTCAAATAACCTAACTTTTGAAGTGCAGTGTTTTATGATTATCACAAGGTCACTGGTTCAATTTTTGTTTTGTCATTTTTTAATTATATAGTAACTATAGCTTATGTATTGTTGTAGGTGTTCATAAACTTGAGCGCATAGTTGATCAAGTTGATGATTTGCAAGACACTGCTAATGAATTACATGGAAAATATGTTTCACTTGCTCTTGCAGTGAAAAAGTCACTTGAAAGTAATTCCATTGATGTAGAAGATGCCAAGTTTTTGATAAAGGAATGTTTAAAGAGAAAAGCTAGTGTTGTTCCTGAGTTAATGCCCTGCATTGATATTCTCAAGAAGGTTAATGATTTTAAAAGCTTTTTTGAGTTTCTAAGTGATTTTAATTTCATTGGTTATCTCAATTACAAGCTATTGAAGAAACTCATCATTGAATTTGCTAAGAATGATGATGAGATTAACCGGCATTTACTTGAATACGAAAAAGAATATGCTAAATTGTTGAGTGCAGCTTCCTTTAAAGATTTGATACCTTTATTTGAAAAACAATCTGATCTATCTCCTACTGCTCCTCTTGGCTTACCTTACATTTCTTTTCGTCTTGAGAAGCCTTGGTTACTCACTTGTGTTTATACCTGGGTCTCAACCTTTGGTGAATTCTCATGGTCGTCTGATGCGATTCTAAAACAATTAAGGAAGAACTGTATTATCATCACTTATGCTATACTACCATGTGTTCTTGATGATGTCATGAGAGATCTCAAGGATCCAGTGATATTGAAAAAGCTAGAGGACAATGATATTAGAGTAGTTGAATTACCACAAGAAGAGGAAGGTAAGATAGTGCAGTATACAAAATTATTTACATTGTATATTTTTATTTTTTACAGAAGATTTTGAGGGCAAGAAAGAAGGTATAATACTTTTACTACATGTATATTAGCTTTTATTAGTTTATATATATACAATTATTTTTTTATTTTTATATTTTCAGACCCACAGATTGAATCTACTGCTGCTAAAATAGAACCAGTACGTCAGTATAATAATTAATTTTCATTGATAGATTTTCTTTGAAAAGAAGGTTGATGCTTCTTCAATCATGCAGACCACATCATTGGAGGGAAAAATTTCCACCACGAGCACTACTTTGGTAGGTATAGCACATTTACAGCTACAGTAAATTATGCATACACATATCTATCATACAATGTATAGTGGAAAATTTTGTTTTGCAAATCTATTAAAAAGTCAATTTTGTGGCCTTTAATTTTTGTAATTTTCTACTTTTCAGCCATCTTGAACCTTATTAAATCAATTTTTGTGGATTTTATTTTTATGAATTTTGAAATATTAAGAAATCCATAAAATCATTTGCCATGGAAATTTTTTGCTATGCAGTAGTGTTAAAAGAATGAAATTTACATGTAGTTATTAAACTAGCCAATTTTGTGATAATTTGTGTCAACATTGTGAACATTGTTTTCTTGTCTAAATAAGCTGATTTTGTGCGACTAGTTTTTGTGCTTTTTTTATTTGATGTTAATTCAGTGATAAGCTGTTAAGTTGTTTATTAGTGATCAGATTGTGCTAAGCAGTACTGTCTATACTGAGTTTGTACTACATTGCATGGCAAAATGTAGATCATACAAAGAGACATAAATATAGTGGGAATATTTGGTGGCTCTTAATATTGGTGATTCCATGATTGCAATGTATTGGTTGTCTTTATTGTGTAAATGAGTAAATGCCTTAATCTTACTTTTATAGACAAGTGAAGCTAAATTAATATACATGTACAACTATAATTATCTCTTTTTAAACAGAGGCCCGAAGCTGCATCAATTAGGAAAGAAGTGAAAAGTTCCAGTCTGGTACGATGATAAATTGTATATTAGCTTTACATGTAATTACATATGTAGGGAAGAGATTTGATCAAGTCTATAGAGTCTCATGCTAAGCCTGAGGAGGTTATTGGTCTACTTGAAGCTGGAGCTGATCCTAATGCTACTAAGGTTTGTAGCTACAGTACATGTATACTGTAGTATTCTAATTTGTTATTGTAGTATCCATCTGGTGAACACCCTGCTCTTATTATAGCCATTAAAAATGATAATATTGATATAGTGAAATTGTTACTGGAGAAAGGAGCTGATCCTAATAATACTATGGTTTGTATAGCTACAGTACATGTATACTGTAATATTCTAATTTGTTATTGTAGTGTGCATCTGGTGATCACCCTGCTCTTATTAGAGCCATTGAAAAGGATAATATTGATATAGTGAAATTGTTACTGGAGAAAGGAGCTGATCCTAATAATACTATGGTTTGTATAGCTACAGTACATGTATACTGTAATATTCTAATTTGTTATTGTAGTATGCATCTGGTGATCACCCTGCTCTTATTAGAGCCATTGAAAAGGATAATATTGATATAGTGAAATTGTTACTGGAGAAAGGAGCTGATCCTAATAATACTATGGTTTGTATAGCTACAGTACATGTATACTGTAATATTCTAATTTGTTATTGTAGTATGCATCTGGTGATCACCCTGCTCTTATTAGAGCCATTGAAAAGGATAATATTGATATAGTGAAATTGTTACTGGAGAAAGGAGCTGATCCTAATGCTACTGAGGTTTGTAGCTGTATATACTGTATTTTTTAATTTGTTACAATAGTATAAATCTTGTGGTAATCCTGCTCTTATTGTAACCATTAAGAAGAATAATA